ACTCAAATTTATTAATTATATTTTAATATATTTAATTTATATATATTATATATATTTAATATTATAAAATAATAATAAATATAAAAGAAATTTAAAAATTTAAAAAATAATAATAAAAATATTTAGAATTTCGGATTTTTCGGTTTGGTTCGGATTTTTTAGTTCAGATTACGAATTTTTGGATTTCGGATTTCGGTTATTTCGATTCGGTTTGGATTGGTTTTTTTAAAATTTCGGATTTTCGGATCGGTTCGGATTTGGCAAAATCCGAACCGAAAATCCGAATGCTCACCCCTGCCTTTCATAATTTGTTATATTATTAAATGTTCATATTAGTAATATGTTCAAAACTATTCTCATGTGTTTTAAATCTATCTCCAAGTTCAAAACCGTAAACGTCTGTTACATAAAAAGCACCAAAATCATATTAACCTATGACTTTCAGAAAGAATAGTTGAAGAAGCTGAGATGAAAAAAAAAAATCACCTACTAAATAATTTTTGTTATTATTAGATTTAAATAATTTGCAAAAATATATATATTTAACTTTATATTTAGAATCAATAGCCACTTTCGGTCTACACTATTTTTTAAAATTTTAGAGTAATAAATATATGAAAAATATCTGAAAGTACTATCTAAATAAAATGCAATATTTAATTCCCTTATTGATCCCTTTCAATTAAGATGTCTCATTTTTTTTTATTATTAAGATTAATCTAACACCTACGTCAATAAAGTCATTTAGAATATTATCATCAACTATTAAATTTGACAAATTTGGATTATTATCATGCTCATTCAAATTTTTAATATTTGATTCACCAAAATTATTTTCAGTATTTAATACATCATTGGATTCAAATAGATCAACATCATTTACATTCAAACACTCACCGACATGGGCAGAGTTAAGTGGGGACCTGAAGGGTCCGTCGCACCCCGAACTCGGTGGTCGGTGGTGGATCTTCATTACGTCAATGGAAGAGGGAAGAAGAAAACAAAAAAATTGCCCCTAATCCCCATCCCCCGAACCCGACGGTCGATGCTAGAGAGGGAAGAGGTGGTCGGGTCGATGCTAGAGAGGGAAGAGGTGAAAATGTAAGATGGGGAGGAAGAAGAAGAATCTAGGAAAAAAAAAAAAAAAAAGGATAAAACAATAATGCTATGGAAGATGAGAGGGAAGAAAAGAAAGATACGTCGAGAAAAAATAAGTGTGGTCGCGGCGACTGAGAAAAAGTAAAGTAAGGTAAAAATTTAATAGCATTTATATAATTAAAATTATTTTATGTTATAATAATAATAATAATAATAATAATAATTAGTTATTTTTGTATATTTATGTTTACATTTGGCTGTGACGTTTTTCGAGCTTTAAAAAAATTTAAAAAATATTTTATTTTTTATATATGATATTATAAAAAATATTAATTAAATTTAGAATATTATATCAATACATATTTATATTATAAATAACTATTTTAATTTAAAATTTTATTATTTAAAATTAAAATCTCACAATAATTTTTTATATATTTATATTTATATTTAATTTGAATTATATTATTATATAATAATTAAAAATAAATAATTAACTTAGTCCTCCAACGGAAATCCATCATGCTCTGCCATTGCCCTAAAAAAATTATTAATTGATTCTTCTACTAATAGTTCTATTTGTTTCCTCTCTATTTTTTACTACCAGAAAAATATTTTTTTTTGGCAACATTTCTATATGAAAATAAATTAAACAATCAAAAAATATAATTAACACAATGAAACAAAGCACCTGAGTTTGTATCACATTTGGAGTCGAAATATATTCATAGTTGTTTCTAGTCTTTGTTTTATCCTTGTACAAATATATATAACACTTTGATAAATTTATAAGCAAACAAAAGACAAAAACTAGTGTTATCATATAAAAAACAAATCCAACTATTCGCCTTATACCATCATACAGAAAATGCATATTTTTGCAACAACTAAAAGCATGATTATACATAGTTTGTACTGAAATTTTCTAATTATGGCAGACTTCAATTCGAAACTATACCAATTTGATGTAATTAAAGGTAAAAATAATACTCCCTCCATCTCATATTTATATATACATTCGTCTTTTGCACGAAGTTTTAGAAATATTAGTATTATATTGGGATAAAGTAGAAATAAAGGTAAAAAGATCAAATTAACCCTATTAGTATTGTATGATATAAATGTAACAATATTTGTGTAATATATTGTAAATTGGAAGGATATTTGTAATGTTATGTAGATAGTACAATTACTAAAAAAAGAAAATCGATATTTTGTCATGAGACAGACCAAAATGAAAAAATAGATCGATTGTTAAGGGACGAGGGAGTAATAAAACACCAACCAAAATATTAGTTTGCTGATCCCCATTTTCAACTACATCAACTAAATTTTCCACTGATTGAAACAAAATACAAACATATTTCATTATTATTTATTTAAATCAATTATAAATGGACGAAAAAAAAAAAAAAAAAAAGACTACATGAAGTAGATGAAAGTGAGAGGTGTTTGGGTACCATAAATTTCAAATTATAATTGATAATTTTATTAAGTTAGACGAATTGATATAACATTACCTCAATATTCAATCATAATATTACACCACAAAAACAAAAAAGTTCATGATTATATTGCTACTTGCTAGGCTTAGGACATAGGAGGTATTAAATAAATCTAAAAAGTAAATTTGTAAACTTGTAAACTACTTAAAGAAGAATTTTGAAAACTGTGAGAAAGGAAGAGACAACCGAAATTATGAAATTGATTAATTCGATCGATGTAGGAGAAGAATTGTGCGATGAATATACAAATAAGCATACTACTATATAATACCTCATCTAGCAATGGTAGACGTGAAAGGCAAAGAATCGTATCGTACTATTTTACAACGGTACGCAGTTGAATAATTAAATAGATGACATATAGAGGCAGCTATTGTATCAAAAGACAAATTATCTTGACATTAAAATAGATTGGAACTTTTATGTTTACCTATAACAATTTTTTTTCTATATAAACGTTGTTTTAATATAATAATATATATATATATACACACGCCAAGAGTTAAAAATTTTGGGTCCCCTCCTAAATTGGGCCCTAGGCAATCACTCTCATGGGCCAGCCCAGAGATAGCCTACACATGTATATTTAAATAGGATATGAATAACAATAATTCTACACAATCAAAGTTATAATTCTCGTCATTATCTAATATCACAATTAATTTCATCATGAACTCCTAATAAAGTACTACTATGAGTGAGGACATCGAATCTACAAATGAATATATTTCAAAAGATTTTTTGTCCCAAATGGATATGTTGAAAAAAAAAAAAACACAAGTAATTTTAAAAGTTGAGGCATCGAAGTTCGCGATTGATAGGAAAATGTTGTCGTTAGAGAGGATACATTGATTTCAATAAAGTATTTTCTCTTGTTGTGAAGTATAGCTCTATTTATGCGTGCTATAATTATTTTGTTTGACATGAACTTGAAACAATTTGATGTTAAAATTATTTTTTTGCATGACAAATTTTTTTTTTTTTTTTAAAAAAACAACTATATGCATTAACAAAAAAATTCGTTGTTTAGAAAAAAGAAGATCATGTTTGTCTTCTTAAGAAATCGCTTTATGACTTGAAGCAATTTTTCTAAAAATGATACAAATGGTTCGATATTTTTATAGTTGAACATGATTACAATAAAAACAATTATGAAATAATAATAATTATTAAATTAAATTAAATAATAATTACATAAATTACTTTCAATTCAGTTTCTAATTTATTATATATAATTTTCACTTTTTACATTTAACAAAGAGTAACATTTTATATTAGAAGACCATGTGTTGTTAACAAAGTCAAATAAGATCAAAAAAATTTCATGACCACAAAACTTCATCCCTCACACACCACTACACTTGTTAAAAAACATTATGAGTGTATAGTTTTGGAGGATTTTATCATATTTATTAAAAAAATTTCTTCTTAAAATATTTATTTTTGGATTTATGTACTCCGTCCCATTGGGGTTTGGGGTTTGAACCCATAACCTCATGATTACAAGTCCAATCCCTACACCACCAGATCATCTCTTATGATACAAATGTATAAATATTTATTTTCAATTTGATGTAATTATGTATACAAATGCAGGTGATTGAAGTTTATAATATTTAAATTTATTATAATTTAAATGATATTTTTTAAGTATTTAAATTTTACAATAAATAATTAGAATATTTATAATAAACTCAAAATGATTTTTGTACAAAAAATTTATGTATTTTTTTTATATATTCGTCATGCAATAATATTTTATATTTTTAAATAAATAAAAATTTAAAAGTTATCTTGTAAATATACATAAAAGTAAAAATTTAATTACATAAAATTTAATTTAGCATTGTATAATTTTTATATTTAATGTAATGTTTATTTTAATTTATCATTTTGTAATTTTTTATATTTAATATAATATTTGTTTTTGTATTTAACTTGTAAAAAAATTGTTAATAATAAATTATTATTTATTTATATTATAAACATATTCAATCTGTTAATTCAATATTCTTAAATAAATTAATTTTTATTTTATGATAAATTGATTTTTTTGTATGTGATACTAAAACTAGATTGTTAATTATAAAAAATAATATTTATAATTATAAATTATTTTTTTAAATAATATTAAAGTAAAAACAAGTAATTATATAAATAATAATAAAAATTAGATATGAATTATAAATCTAAAAAGTTAGTTAAAATAATATATAAAATTTTATTTTAGTAAAAAATAAATTATAGGTTAAATAAAAATACTGTAGCAGATAAATATTTGGAGTTCAAACTGTACTTAAATTAAATAGGAGTGAAAATACTTTTTTTTTTAAAATGATAAATAAAAATAAATTCTTTTAAAAAATGATAAATAAAAATAAAATTGAAAGCAGAGAGAACCCGCCATCGATTCGGCGCAAACCCTAAATCCCAACTTGGCTCCCGACATTTCCCTCCGATGCTATGCTGGCAGCTCCAAACATGCGCCTACTTCGATCCCTCCATCTCTGCAAAACCCTTCGCCATCTCTCTTCCCAGAACCCTAACCCATGCTTGAAATTTCCTAAGAGATATAACTCTGGCTTCGCTGCGGCCGGCGAGTTCGCCTGGTCCGGTTTGCCGGGAGAGTCCTCTGCTCAGCAAACCCCCGCCGTTCAGACCGTTTTTGATCCCGTATCCGGCCGTCTTGTCACCAAGCACGATTCTAAGGGCGGGAAAGGCACTGAGCCCGATGTTGACGAAGATAATTTTACTTCCACTACTCAAGTGGGCTCTAGAGTGTACGGAGATGTAATAGGAAATGGGATTGGCGTTAAGAGGCCGGGAAAGAGTAGGAGTGTTTATGTTTGCGAGAATTGCGGGTATTCGGATGGTCAATGGTGGGGCATGTGTAGGCAATGTCAGAAAACGGGATCCATGAAGCGGCTTACCCTCGAAGGTGCTGCTGGGGAGAAAGCGAGCAGGATCAGGTTGAGGGAGAATGTGACGAGATCATCTTGGCTTCCTAGAGAGACGGTTACTCAGAACCCTGTCAAATCGAGCGATGTGTGTTCTCAGATTGATGAGTTAAAATGGAGAATAACTTTGTGAGTTCATAACGAGAATTTATGCTAGTATTAAGTAGTTCTATATTATTGCACTGCATTTGCCTTTGGATGATGTGTTCTTCTACGCCAGTGGTTAGATATGTGCTTATGACATATAATTGGGGAAAACTGAAAATTTAGTGTTGTTAGTTCTAAGACGGTGGTTTGATGTGAGTTTATGACATATAATACTGGGAAAATGTTATTGTGGTGCAGACGTTCCTTATAGTCTTTGTTTTTTAAGCGACTTGTTTCGGAAATGGTACACGATCTCTGGCTGTTGCGCGAATGGTCCTATTTCACGACACTTATGCATGCATTTTTATTTTCCATGTGTCACATTCCCAATAAGCACACTTTTATACACAGATTTTGAATCATTGGAACAACTAATTAGTGAGGCATAAACCTATTTTTAGACATGGCCACTTAAAAGACCAAAATGATAAGGAGTGCTTTAGGATCACAATTAAATTTCCCCCCTAAATAACTATCCAAATCATCATAGTGTTATCTAACTACGGGCCTTTATATAATACTTGCCCTAATTAATTGTACTAGGCAATAGGCATGTGGTTTCTTTACCCTCATTTCACAACATGTTCTAGGGAATGCTTAATTTGCACATGAGTGGGGTAAGAAATAAAAAAGTAAATCTTTCCGGTACATGAATTTTCTCACTTAATGGTAATTGTTATTGTCTTTGTAGCATGATTTAGTTATGAAAGGATTGACTAGGTTTGGTATTATTATGAAGGCCAGGACCATCTGGAGCTGAAATGGAGAGGGTTCTTGGTGGTGGTATAGTCCCAGGTACTCCATTTTCTTTTCTTCACTATGTGATCTACATGGTCTATTTTCATTATTGATCTGGAAACTCTAGATAGCTAAATAGTTGTTTTTCCGTGTCATACAAAAGTAAATAAATTCTTTCACAAGTTACCTTTCTGAACATGATTACCTAGGTTGGCCCCTAAAAGCTTTCCAGCTCAGTAGCTCATGCAGAAGCTGTTTTAATTTGAATATGTTGATTGTCAAGCATTCCTCCTAATTTCTTCAACTAGTTCTATGCCACACAAATTCTCCTAAAATGATTGAGAGGGATCTTTTGAATTCTACCATGTATTTGTATTTTTATACCCAAACTCTCTAGTGCCCATTGTACATTATTATACCCTTTATAGTAAGGTGTGTTTTGCACATTTTATGGTTGTTTACCTTACAGGTTCCCTAATATTAGTGGGTGGAGACCCTGGTGTTGGTAAAAGCACATTATTGTTACAGGTGTCCGCAATACTAGTTATTTTCACTTCTTTGATTAACAATGCTCTCTAGATCATATCTGACATTGATTTTCAAATCATAAATGTAAGGTTGCTGCATTGATAGCAAAAGGAAATGCTATTGCTGGTGATCCGCCCAATCGAGTTATATATGTATCTGGGGAAGAGGTGTGTTTCTTCTCAGAGTTTACACACTTCTTTGGTGTTTGGTATACCTTTGGAGATGGACTTTTCTTGTTTTTAGTTGTTGTACCCATGCTGTATTAATTTCTGTGGTTTTATTCTTTTGCTCTTAGTTTAGATTCTGATTCTTATAACTAACGCTTAGGGTGTATTAATATCTATGGCTCAACAGTTGATTCCTAAGTTTTCATTTCAGAGTGTTGAACAAATTGGAAATAGAGCTAGCCGTCTGGGTCTCGACTCTGATGAACTTTTTCTTCATGCTAGTACAGATGTGGAGGTAAATCTGCTAAATATGACCATCTGCTTTTATGGGAGTCTTCAAGATCACTATTATTATTTTATTTTTTTTGTTTCCTGTACGCTGTACTACAAGATATATTTCTCCTCCTGGTCATGACTCATTCATGACATGCGGTTGGATAGAGTTAGGGTGTGTTTGTTTGGGGGTTTGGATTTTGAGTTGGGATTTGAATAGTAAAAATTTTGAATTTGAATAGTTGTATGATGTGATATAAATAGGTGTTGATGTGATGTTTTTAATGTAAAATTGATTTTTAGTATAATATAAAAAATGAAAAAGAGGTGTTTGATTTGATGTTTTTGGGGGAAAAAAATAGGATGAATAGTGGAAATCTAATCCAATCCCCCAAACAAACACACCCTTAGTTTGCTATGAAATGAGAAGACTTTCGAATGAAGTGAAACGAACCTTAGACAGGCTTTTTAATATTTTGAAAATATTTTTGATTTCTAAGAATTAAGAGCCTAGGTTTGTTGTCCAATTCAATCTGACTTTGACAGTAAGGAATCTGTTGATCACAAAGCCAAGATTAGCAGCTAGTTGTTTGGAGCTTTTAGAGGAGTTGGAATATATGTCAATATAATGAAATTCACTTGTTTGTTTTGGCAAAAAATATATCCGCTTGTAAAGTAAAAGGATGAAATAACCATTTGAGTCCAATTATGTGGAAGTGGAAATCTGTGAAGTGTTACAAATTATTATTTATATATATATATATATATTTTCTAAAGCAGTCCTGAATATTTCGTAAAACGATATAAGTGGAAGCAGAGAGAAACTTCTTTATGGGTCATCCACACAATTTGATATTGAAGTTTCATACATCTTGCTGCTGTTTCTTCTTTCCCCTCATTGAAGCTTAAGGGTTTCTTCAAGGGGATAATTGCAATTAGGAAAACTTAAACTAAATTATGGGAGTCTGTGGGCGTTTGTGCCAAGGAGAATGGGATGTCTCATTATGTATTTTATCCTTTCATCTTCCTTTGCAGGATATTCTTGAACAGACTAAGCGCCTTTCAGCAAAGGCTTTAATTGTTGATTCTATTCAAACAATGTATTTGCAAGGAGTGCCCGGAAGCGCTGGAGGAGTCCCACAGGTTTGAAATTCCCATCTCTTGTCTGAAAGTTTCATAAGTGTGTATGTCTTGAATGCTTTATTGTCGGTTGAAGTGTTAAAATTTGATTCCTTGGATGATCATTAAATAATATCCTAGTATGTTGATTGCAGAATAAATTTAGCTCCAGGTTGTTGTATGTAAAAATGTCGATGTCTCATGTTTTAGTGTACAGTGACATATTGTTATTTGATGATACTGCATTACCTTTTGCCAGGTGAAAGAATGCTCTGCAGCCCTACTAAGGTTTGCTAAGAACACTGGGATTCCGGTACTTTTGGTGGGTCAAGTTTGAAATATTCTCTTCATATTAGTTATGTCAGGAAATTCTGTTTATTGTTATGTTTTTTTTTTCTTGATGCAGATTGGGCATGTGACCAAAGCAGGGGACATAGCTGGACCTCGTGTTTTGGAGCACATTGTAGATGTTGTATTATATATGGAAGTTGGTACCTGACCTCCTCTCTCATGCAGTCAATGCTTATATCTTGCCTTTTTGATTTAATTAAATTAGGTTACTCTTTCCTAATGTCTAATAAATTGGATATTTGCAAGGAGTGTTTAATAAGATTTTAAATACCAATTACACGCCTCAATATTGATATCAGGGTGACAAGTGTTTATCTCATCGATTGCTTCGATCAGTGAAGAATCGGTTTGGATCTACAGATGAGGTATGTCTTGAGCTTATTAACTTTTATGGACCTACTTTACCTTTGCCTTCTATTCTTCCGTACAAAATAATTGTCAATTAGGCATTATCCATCATGGTTTTAGCCACAGTTTCTTGAGTCATCAAGTGCATGTGAAACTACTGTCTGACAAGATCTTATATTCATGCCAGCTTGGAATTTTCAGGATGACACAGTCAGGGTTGGAGGGAGTGTCCAATCCCAGTGAGATCTTCTTAAGTGAGCAGCACTCCGATTCAGACTACCTAGCTGGCCTGGCAGTAACCGTTATTATAGATGGATCCCGGGCATTTTTGATTGAAATTCAGGTAGTGTTTCTTATTTTGTTGTCTTTCTTGAGTTAGGTAATTAATGAATGGCCACAGGTACATAGACATTACCGCTGGTACACCCAATTCTTCTCTTTAATTTTTGGAAATGACGTCGAGTTTTTCATTGTTCTGGAACATCCTTTTTACTACAGGCATTATGTATAGCTGGGTCGCCTAGCTACATGCATGCAAATGGCATTCAAAACAGCAGAGCTGCTATGCTTATTTCAGTGAGTACTTATTCTCAGTTCTTATTTCTGTTGGTGCTTTTTCTATTGAGCATCATCTCTTCAGTGAGTACTTGTCCTTTGACGTATTTGGACACTAGTTTCAGTTAGTACAATTAGATTGCTCTAAATGATCTAACGTGTCCCTTTTGCAGGTTATTAGAAAGCAGGCCAGACTTAATCTCCAAGACAATGTAATATCTTCATCCGTATTTCTCAGTTTAGCCTTACAGGAGGCTCTTTTTCTTACCTTCCATTGTCTTCATTTGGTAGGCTATATTTCTGAACGTTGTTAGCGGGGTTACCCTAACAGAGACAGCTGGGGATTTAGCAATGGCAGCAGCAATTTGCAGCAGGCACGTCTTGATAATAATTCAATTTACATACACATTTGTTATATTGCTTGATAAACATGTATTTATGCATTAGTAGTTGTTTATTCTTAAGCATGTTCCTTTTTTTTTTTTTTTTAACAGTTTTGGCTTTTACTTCTTCTTAAGTAATTCCTCATGAGCTCTGTGAAACTTCTGCTTGTCATTATGCTCAGCTTCTTGGAATTCCCCATACCAAAAGGCATAGCTTTTATTGCTGAAGTCGGTCTTGCTGGTGAACTTCGTGGAGTATGTGCCTTGATCTTGATTTAACTCTTCTCTCTAATTTCTTCTTTGCATCTGTGATTATCTTCAAAATCGAAACTTCTTGATCAAGTGTTGTCTCAATAATCAACCCGCAGGTACCTCAAATGGAGAAGAGGGTGAACACCTTGGCAAAGTTGGGGTACAAGAAGGCCATAGTTCCCAAGTCTGCTCAGAAAGCTTTGTTGGAACTAAAAATTGAGGGCATTGAGATTTTGGGATGCAAGAACTTGAAAGAGATGATATATGCTGTTTTCAACACATGATCATGATGAATATCAACTCGTGGAAGAGGTAGGTATTGATAGATATTGCGTCCCTCTATGCCTACTTGTGTGTGTAAAGGTAGAGCTTGATTGAACTGCCCTTCACTTCACTAATTTCCTCTAATTGACCTTGAAGAAGGATGGTTTTGTCTGTTAGGAGTTGCTTCTTCCTTAGTTGGATTTTAGCTATTAGGTGTTTTATGTGTGTAATATGGTATGTACGTACGTATTTGTATAAATGTATTTTGTAGCTTGCAGCCGTAGAGTACAGAATTTGTTGATATTTATTACGTTGTCACGCCAATTTTCATGGACAAAACGTTTGCTTGCAAGTCTATCATTCCCTGTCGTCCCGGGACATATTATCTATTTGTTTTGGAGAAAATATTTTTAAAATATGAATTAATATATAAATAAATAAAAAATTAAAATATGAGTTTTTAAATATTTTATATCATTATATTTTAATAAAATATATAAATATTGTTTTATTTAAAGTTGTATTTCATATAATATAAATAAAAAATATATTTATTTTTTATAATTAATATAAATTAATATTATAAATATAATATTGATATTATATTAGTAGCGGGTAAAAAGAAAAAGTAGTCTTTAGTGTAAAAAAATAGTTGTAAGTGTAATAAAAATGAAAAAATAATGTAGTTTTACTTGTGGAAATAAAACTATTGTTAACAAGACTGTGGCGAATGAAGTAAAAGATAAAAACTTTAGAAGTAGATAAAAAAATTTGTTCATTAAAAATAATAGAAATCAAAGAGTTTTAATTGGTTTGTAGAACGTTAGAAATTTAATAAAATTAATCTATAAATTTGTTAAATGAATTTAAAGTTAATAAATTTATCAAAAAAAATCGAAAGACTAAAAAGAAAAACAGACGGATCATCTGTCTTGAAGTAATAATTATTAATATAATAATATGTGTTAAAAAGAATTATTGTATTATAAAATTAATTATTATAAATTACAATTAAGATAATTGTATAATTAAAATTAAAAAAAATTAAAACATATTAAATTTAAAATAAAATTAAAGTGTATAATTTTTTTTTTTTTTTAAAAAAAAGACAAATAAGGTCAACCAGATAAAAATAAAAATAATAGACAAAAAAAATGTGGGACAAAGGAAATAATTGATTTATTTTACGTGATTAGAAATGACTATCAATTTCGAAAATAATGAAGCTCTAATTGCAAGAAACTATTTCTATGTAGCTCTAATTGCAATATGAACATATTTTCATTAAACTTATAGCAAAAGTTTTAAATCAATTTGTTTATACTATTTTTTAATACTATTTTAAAATTGAAATGACTACCTGGATGTGTTTGGCTCGAGAATTTTGTCAAATTTATTATACATTAATTTTTTAAAAAATATAAAATTAAATACAAATTTTATTATTATTTATATTATATTAAAAATTAATTTTATATTTAATAAAATCAAAACAATTGATACTACTCTACGACATCGACGATTCCAGAATCTCCGGCTGATCGACACCCTAACTGGGGTTGTTTGGGCAACCTCCAATAATAGAGCTCTCTTTGGAGTCCTATGGTGACGAAGATAATTTTCGTTCGTACTCAGTTTCCTCCAAAAATAATGGCCGCTCCCACTGTGACTACCTTTGTCCCTCAGAAGTGAAAGGAAAATTGCCTAATCCGAGCCTCCTTGTCTCGATTCTGAAGTGTGTAAAATAAAATTATTATATTAAATAAATATTTTTATAATATTAATAAAATAAAAAAATTAATATTCTAAAATAAATTTTATTCTTATTTTATATATCATTTGTTAAACGAATAAATAACAATAAAATAAATATCATGGGTTCAAACTTCCGATGCTTCAGGTCACCTGCCACACATGGTTCGCGTAGTGTGACTTTCCCATCGGATTTGGTTTGCAGGGTATTAAGTTTGGCCGGGAGTTTATCCAGTGCGCATATTCGGGTAGCGGCTGCGGGTTCCCACGTCATCAAAAAAATAAAATAAAATAAAATAAAATAGCATATGTTAAATAAATTTCAACCTTTGGTTTGAATCTAATAATTAAATTTAATTAACTAATTTAGCAAATGGATGGTTTAGATTCAATTTAGCACAACTGAATATTGTAATTCAACATACTATCCTAGTCGAACAAGTAAACAGACAAACAAACCCACTTTACCTTGATCAGAAGCAACACAGGAAATGGAGGAAGAAAAAGAAAAGAAAAGAATATTTAGCTGTTGAATTTTGATTCTAATTTTGTTAATTTATTGTTAAAGGTACGTAAAATATAATTACAGTTTTAAATTCTATTTAAATGATTTATTTTATAAATGAGATATTTGACAAAAAAAAATTAATAATTTATAACTGAATATGTAACTATCAAATCACGACAATTTTTAAGTTATTATATTAGATATACTCCAAGTTTATATTTGAAAAAATTTATATTTATCTGAATTCTAAGTTATTTCGGCAGTCTTAGACCGGACTATTTATTTATAATTTAAAATTATTTTTATTTTAAAATATGTCAGTCAAAATGATATTAGCTATAAGACTTTTATAATTAAAATAGAGTATTCTATTACAAGAAAAAATTTGGAAGCTAACGGTTGAGTTAAAAAATTTATCATTAGCAAACTAGTAGCTCATTTAAATCACCATGTAGCTCATTTCGTATGTTAGCAAATTATCTTTGTACTTATTACATTATTTGGTTTTTAAATTGCATAAAAGTGAATGTATTGAGAAATTTATAGTTGATATTACATGATAATCAAATCATTAATTTAATGTCAAATATAATAAGACTTGTATTTTGTTTCAACAGGTATCTAGTTGTCAGTCACAATAATGTACTAATAGTGTCATATTGATCGAGCTCGTTAACTTGATCTGATTACCGAAATTGATAAGTAGTTATATGAAAATAATATACACTTAATCACAATTTAATTGTTTTGTTCAAAATATAATTTCAATAGCTTAATAATTATATCGTTGTGATTCAATATGAAATACGAAACATATTGTACCTCTTTGTTAGGAACTTGACAGTGATGTGATCCACTTGATTCTTCATTGCTGTTATTTTGAGGATCTTGTATTTTATACATATAGCATAATTTCTATGTGTGAACTTTTTGGATATTACTATTATTTGCAATCTAAATTAGTGATTGGCGATGATACCATCTTACGTACGTATATTGATGTACCATTATATTATGCAATAACAATAGTTAGTCGGACAACCGATTGACCTATGTCGCAGGATCTTTCGGGAATTAGATCTGGTTATTTATAGCCCTATCTAATAATTATCGTGCATGTTTTGATTCACTTATTAGATTGACCACTAGTGGGGTCTACCGACACTTCAGAATTATTGACCAACTCCAAACGTGATCCCAAATGGGCGCATGAGGAGGAGTAAAGTTTTCCGGTTCCCTTTGGGTAATTCTTGGGTGGCACGAATTTCACTACTATACACGTGATAGATATTCCGGATAGGTCTATATTTGCTACCATGAGCTCTGGATAGTTCTGTAGTTAATATCGCCTTGATATTTGTTATATTAGATGAATATTTTGTTATATTTTGAACGATTTTTTGGATGCAAATTTCGTATATATACTCCTAATGATATGTTTTTGGGTTGTTTACTAGGTATTGCAGAGTTGACAAATTTTGGACATATTTGAGAGAAAAAACAGAAGCCACAAGGTCTTAGGCGTAATCACGCCTAAGTACAACACAAAGTGAGAAGATTAAAAATTGCAAAGAAGTCCTCCGAGGTTAAATTGAAAATTTCAAAACTATGAAGATTTAATCATAAAAGGGATCTTGGGTTAGAGAATTAAAGAAGAGTGGGGGGCAATTGAAAAGGAGAAGAAAACGCATCATCACATAGAAAATCTAAGATACCAATCTTTGAAGAGAGAAGAAGAAAACAAAAAAGGAAGAACAACGCAGAGAATTCATAGGAGCAACACAGACAGAACTTCCAAGCATTTCTTTCTTCATTCTTAGAATTGGTTTGTTGTCGATTCTTAAAATTGAAGGCATGATGAACTCCTTGATTTATCTTGTGTTTTCAATTTTTAAGGATTGTGAGTAATTTTATTTCTAGCGTAGGTGTGAATTGATGTTTGAGATTGAATTTGTGAGACTTGGTTTTGATTGAATTTGGTGTTCATCGATGTTGAGTATTTTTAATTCTTCTAATTTACGAGTTTAGAAATCTTAAATTGATTATTGCGCACGTATTGATTTGAGATTTTATAGTTATATTGGAGATTGACACCCGTAATTATGTAATCTTTCAATTGGTGTAGAAACTTAGAGGAAGAATACTCTAGGGAAGAATACTCTAGGGAAGAATTAAAATCAATTTTGAACAAATCAACGTAGGAATTTTGTTAAATTGAATTAGACATTTCTAGTCCTTGATGTTGTCGAGTTAGTAAAACTACGGTCGTACCTAGGATTCTCACTCGATTAGGGAAATAGCTAACGATCGTACCTTAGCTATCGACAAAGTAAAGAAAGGTTGGTTGTGAACACGTGTAGATTAACTATAACCACTTTATCCAACTAGTCAATGAACTTTATTTTTAGTTGATGAGCAAATTTCATATTCCGGGCGGAAAATTCATGCCTTTCCTAGAGTTTAATTATATTTGGTAAATCGATCATTTGCATTTCTATTTATTTTATTTAATTGAGTGAATTTTTATTCTTCTTTAGTTTATAGTCATAAATCAAATCCCCCTATGTATATATATAATGTAATTATAAATAACCAAATAGTCGAATTTGCTACTGCTTCCCTACGGATACGAACCTACTTACTAAAACTACTGCATTTTGCATATTTATATAATGTAGGAACTAAAACTTATTTTTCAATTGTGCGATACGGCTATCAATATGATTCATTGACATACTTCTATTATTTGTACCTTATTGGTTATGTCTTTAATAAGGGTTGGATGTCTGTCTGATTGTATTAGACTTTTTATATTATTTCTCGAGAGGCATTTTGCTGATTGTTTTGCCTTATCTCGTGCTATTGATAATATTCATTGGAATTTTGGATAATTTTCAATTGTTAATGGGTGGCTTTACTTGTTGCCAATATTATATAATGAAACATTTATATTGAAAGAATAAAAAAGGTTTTATGCAATGCGCAATATTACAAACATATATGAAATCAAATCTTAATGAAGTTTTTCTTTCTTGGCTTCTCATATCCTTAAACGGAATAAATTTAAAGGAGAATCAATGAGGTAATCATAACACATGTAACATCAAAATTATAAATGTGTATGATTTA